AAATACGAAGGTCAATACTAAATGACACACGCCTTCTACGTTTAATAAAGATAAAAGGGGTAACAATCTATTTAGGGCTCACCGCTGGAACCAAAAGTCCCATATTGCTGGCCGGTAGTAATTTTTATTTTAGATTTATTTTTCAATTATCACACGTTTGTTTATAATAATTTAAGCTACTATTTCCTGTTTTATCTTGATATATTTCTTCTCTTTGCCCCGTCCACATGACCCCTATTACCCCTGGTGCCGTATTACAGAATTCGGGGTGCTTTTTTCGGTTGTAAGCCCTATGATAGACAATTAACCAACAAGGTAATATTGAGTGCTTATTGCAAAGACGGATTTCGTGCGCCTTTAGATGATTGAATTGGGCTGGCGACAATTTAAAGGGGTTAGTATTTTCTGGTAATTGTAAGCATTTAGCCCAAATATTCTCGGTACAAGTCAGTAAGCGAGTAGGTTCACACCCTCTATAAAGAAGAGCTTATTGGCTTTTTGAGTATTTGTTTTAAATATCATTCAGTAACTCCCAGTGCGAAACGATTAATTTTCCAAAATAAATTTAATGGAGAAGAATGACACCTTTCGTAAGCTGACATCTACTATAAATCGAGATGGTACTTTTTTGCAAATAAAAGTTCTACCTTAAAAACATAGGTGTTTTTTTATCTACCGAGAACTTTTATTTAAAAATTTTGAAATTCTTTCTCTTTCAATGCGCACACATTTTCAAGGGGACAGAAGCCCCAGGATACACATAGAAATTTACTAACCTGAGGAGACATTCTCCGTGATTGTTCTACAAGAAATAAAAACAAAATCGCTAATCAGTCATATAAACGCAATACGATAAGGGCCTTAAGGTGTTGCAAAATGTTTTTGAAAGCAGGCAACTCTCACCGATTATGCGGATATTTGCAAATAAATAGAAAGAGCGTTCCCACGTTACACTGCACCTTGAATCTTCAAAATAAATAAATATTTGGAACCATATCGTGCGTTCCTTTTTGAATACCTCTGGAAATTTTCGTCCGGACTGTCGTTTTTTTTATCTAGCACAACTTTCTCAGTTCATTCCCTCGATGTTCCCAACAGGCAAATGTATTTTCATTTGAGTAGATAGAATAAGGATTACTAGAAGCAAGCAATACATTTTTTTCGTCTTTTATAAGAATGGTTAGTTACACGCAAAATTATTATCAGTTATTAATGTAAGTATGAAAGCCGAAAAGGAAAAACTTTAATTAAAACCCTTCGCCCTATATTCTTACCCGATACTAACAAGATTCAAATATGAGACTCAGGTTTGACAGAATGTATTGGCGGCGAATTAAATAAAATATGCGAAGGGCAAAATAGTCAACATCTGGCACCTACTGTAATAGGCATACATACTTTCCTACCGGGACTAAAGACGAAAGTATGATTGGGTATTTACTTCAATCAGACGAGAAGAGCCTTACTTAACAGTCGTGCCCATAAAAATAATTAAAGGCTTACTGTAGTTAGGATATGGCTAAGGTTGTCTGGCAATATTTATTGCCCGGACATAAACATACCTGCGGAGAATCTTTCTTTCGTTGCATTTTTTCGTGTCGATATCACCCTGTTCGTAGCCCGCATGCAGATCAGCGTAATCCATCTCTCTGCGTCCACTCGACCGTTCTCCGGCGTATGCTTATCAGATCTGTAAACTAGCAACCCCCCAGTCGCAAACTGACCCGACTAACTGCCAGTCAACTTTAACAGCAATTATCCAGCTAGCAATTTTCCCATTGCTAATTGTCAGCCAATAGGACGCAGTCTGTGCTTCAAACTGCGGTTCAAAAAGGGAGGCCTGCAGATAATTGGCGTTAGGGGGACATAATTGTTTTCAGAACCGGAAGTTTTAGGATAGAACTGTTGACGCGAATATGCGGTGCCAGACTGCCATGCCAAGATTCAGCTAGCGACATCCCCAGTGCCACTTAATATAGTCCCCTTGTTTCACAACTCGCAATTTTTCGGATATACCGAGAAACCTAATTCCAGTTCATTTTTTTCCTAAGAGGAAGCCAGCGAATTTACGGACCGTTGTTGAAAAATAAGGCATGGCTTTACAAATTAATCCGGAAGGAGTTAGGTAAGTCATATTTAGACTTAGCAGTGCTCGTAAAAATTAGAAGACGAATTCGTAAGTTGAAATCAGTGTCATAGACCAGAACAGAGGGCCCCGAATAACTGAAGGTCCAATACCCACAGCAATTTAGGTAGCAAGGAAGAACTTTAGACACAGCAATACGCTTTGGATGAAAAAATATAACTTTACGTACCCGTGACGAGCAGTGCATTTCAGCCATCAACTCTGCCATTTTTTCATCATTTCGGAGAATGACGCGGTTAGATTGTAGAGGGTTATATGCGCGTGTCTGCGTATACGATGTCGCCTTCTGGGCAAAGTTATGGTTGTTTTAATGAAGACAAATAAGCCTGAAACAGATCTGTATCCGCCTGCCCTATGTAGTCTGATGATGAGCTGTGGCACCATTTTCGGAGATTTACACAGTAAAATTTCCATTTTCCGGAAGAATTTCATTTTTTCTTATTTAACTATCTTGGGATGCCCGTATATATATACATATATGGATATAAGTTAAAATGCTGGCTTCAGGTGTTGACATGGAAGGAAAAGGTAGAGCGATCTCTGGAGAGGATGGTTTAATAATCATCTGAGGTTTCACACTCGTTATTGAGCGCACCATCGGAGATAAGGAAAATGGGAAATACATACTTTAAGTCGGTTCTTTTCTTACTCACCCCTGATAGGTCAATCGGGGACTGTGGTCATTGGTCCCCTGTTCCTGCCTAGGTGATGCAGAACGGTTTCGTGCGAGGCTGGTAGATCTATCCTGCGATTGATAGAATTGCCGTCCGACTGCTAGGCCTCGATTACCTCTCTCACCGCCTTGCTTTCTGCCCCGGCCGATACCTTGTGAACTGTCGAAGCCGAAATGGACATAATTTAAGAGGCTGTGTATTTCGCCATGTGCACGTAAATATTTTCGCTTGATGGTTAACCTGTGTTAATGTACGCGAGATCTTAGTCGTTTAACAGTCAGTCTGCAGTAATTTGCCGGACAATCTAAGCAGTTAA